ACATTACGGTGAGAAAAAGAAGCCAGACCAAAGGCCAAATAGAGTCGGATTTAATTTAGGGCAGTGGTTCTCAACCTTCCTCAGGCCGCGACCCTTTCATGCAGTTCCTCGTGTGGTGGCGACCCCCAACCATAACATTATTTTCGTTGCTACTTCATCATTGTCATTTTGCTACTGTTATGAATTGGGTGACCCCTGTGAAAGGGTCGTTCGACACCCAAAGGGGTCGCGACCCACAGGTTGAGAACCGCTGCTTTAGGGTCTTTTGCTGGAACATGTCAGGAGAGACTAGTCCCTGGAGAAGGACATCATGTTAGCTAAAGCAGAGGGGCAGCAAAAAAGAGGAAGACAAGACGGACAGATGGACGGACACTGTGGCCGCCACAATGAGTGTCAGAATCGTTGTGGGGATGGTGCTTTGTCCTGTTGTGCACAAGGGCCGGGCCGGGGCAGAACTGACTCCATGGCGCCTAACAACTGCAGCATCCACGCATTATGGTCCCCGCATGCGTGGCGGCTGCTCCTTGAGCTGGTTTCCTTTGCTACGTGGGTTCAAAACACCGTACGCGAAGTGTCCAGAATCACAGAGACGGAAGTGGATTGATTCAGTGGTTTTGGGGAAAGGAAATGGGGAGTGGTTGCTAACGGGTCCAGGGCACCCCTGGATGTGAGGAGAATGTCCTGGAACAAAACAAAACGGAGGTGGCAGGGGTGTAACATCGTGAAAGTAATCTGACTCAAATCAACCCCATCGCCACGGAGTCAGCTCAGCGGGACTGCGTGTGTGTGTCACAGTCCAATCGTGTTCCAGAGGTTCCTGGGTGTCACTGCCAGGCCTCTTTCCCCAACACTGCCGGGTGGTTTGATTTGCCTGCCTTCTGGCCAGGAGTACCAATCGTTGGCATCACCTGTCAGCATCAGTGCTGTTTGAAGCCGAGCGCCCAGTTGCCCCTAGGGTTCCTTCTGAATGTAATGAATGCTGCTAAATCGCTCGTTTTAAAACCTAATGGATTTAGCTAAGTGAAGAAAAAGGATACAAGGTAATGAAGGAAAGAATACAGGAAAAAAGTGAGGAGCTTGGTGAATAACAAAAGAAAACATACACTTCCTAAGGAGCCCTGGTTGCACTGTGAGTTAAGCAGCAGGCTGCTAACCTCAAGGCTGGCAGTTCAAACTCACTAGCCACTCCTTGGGAGGAACACAAGGCTGCCTGCTCCCATGAAGATGTCGTCTCAGAAAACCTATGCAGAGTCCCTGTGAGCCGGACTTGATTCTGGGGCAGTGGTTTGAGTTTATTAAGTGTCCGAGGTCATGGTGGCCCGTCTTCAACATGTCTAGGCTTCTAACAAGTCTAGGTTGACTCATACACCCCCACCCCCCACCCAGCGAGGTCGAGGGGGTGGGGAGAGGGGGGGGTTGGCCTCCTTCCCTCAATGCCAGCCTGGCACAATCTGCCCTGTGGCTCAACACCTGTGACTCCCCTGGAAGGGAACTCTCCTTACCCTAGCGCCTGGAGCTGGCTGCCAGGGGGTGGTTGGCAGGGAGTTGAACCCCCTACAGGGCAGAGGGCCATTGCTTGGGAACCGGAGGCTGAGCAGCTGGGGGCGGGTAGGGTGCTGAGGGTGCTTTGAGGCCTTGGCAGGGATAGTCCCTTTTACTCCCAGAAAGAAAAGGCCCCACATGCTCCCGCGGCAAGAGGGAGGTTAGGGGTTGGCTAGGGTTGGGGTGTCGGCATAGACACGCACAAGGGAACCAAATGCTGGGGGCAGCCCCTGCCCTGGGAGGCGCTAAAACATCTGGAGATGCAGGAGAGGCTGTCCTCCTGGAGGGCTCTGAGAAAAAAAAAAAACCAGCATCCGAGTCTCCGTGGCAACAGGAGGCCATGACGCCACAGTCCACCATGGGCACAGAGGACCAACACTGACGTCGGCCCTGCCGGAAGGGCAGCACAGAGGGGCTGGCCCTAGGGGTGCTGATGGTGAAGGGGGTGTTGAAGGTAACCAAGCAGGGGTTGGGGGGGCATCTTGGTTATATTTAGATGCTGAACACAGCTCTGAACTATTTCCACGGCCACTCCCCAGAGCGGGCAGGGCGACTATTTCGGTGTGCAGTTCCAGCGGAGGCGGGCGGCCGGCCGGTGAGTCACTGCTGAGCCTGGCCAGCAGCCACACGAGTTGAGCCAAGGGGACAGAGCACAAGGGACAGCCAGCCGTCTCAGCACTCTAGCACCCCTGCACAAAATGCCACCCCCGTGGCTGAGCGGGGTGCCGAGGGTCCCTTCAGAGGCTGTTTCCAGCATCCAAGTAACACTTGATGTGTCCTGGGCTTCACCCCTCTCCAGGGCAGACCAGTTGGGAAAATGAGGAACATCGGGGGTAAGCAGCTCCCCAGGCACTCTGGTCACTCACTGGCCATTATCTGTGTCTCTTGGTTGATGCCCAACCTGGAGACAATGGGAGGGGACCTCCCTCACCCCAGTCCTGACCAGTGTCCCCACTCAGTGGACGATGACACACCCAAGCTGGCAAAAGGTCAGGGTGGAGCATTGAAGGATGCAATGGTGCCAATCCTGGGTGGGCAGAGGGGCCATGGCCCGCTGTTTCTCAAGGCCGAAGCTGCTGGGCACACACTCGTAGATAACGAAATGCAGGCTGTTCTAATGCGCCTGTGCTCTGAACATGGCCTTCCTACTTCTGTGAAATGGCTTGCTGCCCCCACCCACCCACCCAAGACCCCTACCCCACTCCCCGGCCGGGGGGTAAGACCCACAGGTGGAAGCAGCTTTGGAAACCCGAAGGCTGAGCCAGGGCAATCCCAGCAGAAATCCAAGGTGTGGGAGCATCAAGGGAGATGCCTATGATGCTTTGTGGCCACTGGCTGCTCTGAGCAGGCCTCCCACCCCAGCCCAGGGGCCTACCCAGCCATGCTCCCCCTGGAAACACCTGCTAGTTCCCAGGACTTGGTGGTTGGACCTGGCCCGCTCCCGAGGCCTCCCCCTCCACAGCATCTCAGGGGGCTCCTGGCCCTGCTCTGCCCAGGTCTTTGATAGCCCCTTCCGGACCTTCACTGGGGGCTGAGCCCCCACAGCCACCTTGCACAGTTCAGCATGCCCTGTGGACCCTGGCTTCCTCTTCTCCAGACCACGTCCCACCCTCTGACCTTCATGTCCATGGCTGTCCCCAGCACCTGGCCAAGGACTCAGCTACCTCACAGCCACCAGGCCTTTCACACTGAAGCCAGCTCATCCCACTGGTGGGCCCTGCCTCATGTGTCCATCTGGATGGGGACATGGGGTGAAGCCGTGGGTTAAGGTGTCTGCTCCAGGAGGGTGCGGAGCAGGAAGCTCTCCGACCTTTGCCTGAGCACAACCATCGGGGAGGGTGCATGTGCAAGGGGCGGGGCAGGAAGGACTATGCCAAGAGTGAGCCAGCCTCTCGGGGTCTGTGTCCCTAAAATGACACTGGTTCTTGAGGGAGTGCCGTGGGACCCCTCCCCCACAGTTCAGTGGCTCAGGCCAGTCAAGTGACCACCAAGGCCTGAGATGGCTGTCAGGCTAGCAGCCCCGGGCCAAGCAGCGAGGCCTGCTTTCATTTCTCGTCTCCTCCAGGGAGGGCGGGCCGTGGGTGAGGACGATTCTGGAAACCCATTGGGGCGGGGGACTCTGCCGGAGCCGCTGCACACAACCCACTCCTTGGGGGAGGGCAGCAGCTCCTGGAAGGCCCACACCTTAGCAGGGGCGGCTGGGGCGCTGGCGTCATGGGCGGGGAATCAGGCGGGCAGCTGGAAAGGTCAGGGCGGCGTGCCCATCGGGCACCAAGGGCTAGTGACGTAGGTAGGTACAGCTGACTCCCCCTGGGGCCAGCTCCACCCCCGGGGTCAGCACACACATGGGGAGGGCCTCCAGAGCAACATCCGACAGGGACCCAACAGCACTGTCCTCAGGGCAATGACCCCACACCCAGCCTCCAGCCTTATTCTAAACCCTGACTGTGGACTAAC